CCTCCTCATGGACCACACTGTCCTCCCCCACCTCATGGACCACATCACCGCCATCATCCTCACCATCATCCTCACCATCATGGTCCACACTGTCCTTTTCCTCCTCATGGACTAAAACACCACTATCCTCCTCCCCATTGTGGGCCACACTGTCCTCCTCCCCCTCCTCATGGACCACATCACCACCCTCCTAATCCTCACCATGATCCTGTCCTCCTCCCCCTCCTCATGGACCACATCACCACCCTCCTCCTCCCCATGATGGACCACATCCTCCTGCCCAAGAGGAACCAGATCAACCTCCTTCTGTGCCTCCTCCCCATGATGAACCACGTCATCCTCCTCCTTCCCAACAGGAATTACGTAATCTCCCTTCTTCTCCTCCTCCCCATGATGAACCACACGATCCTCCTCCTGGTCCCCCTCCTCATGGACCACACTGTCCTCCCCCTCCTCATGGACCACATCACCACCATCATCCTCCCCATCATGGACCACTCTGTCCTTTTCCTCCTCATGGACTAAAACACCACTATCCTCCTCCCCATTGTGGGCTGCACTGTCCTCCTCCCCCTCCTCATGGACCACATCACCACCCTCCTCCTCCCCATGATGGACCACATCCTCCTGCCCAAGAGGAACCAGATCAACCTCCTTCTGCTCCTCCCCCCCATGATGAACCACATCATCCTCCTCCATCCCAAGAGGAATTACAAAATCTCCCTTCTTCTCCTCCTCCCCATGATGAACCACGCAATCCTCCTCCTGCTTCTCCTCCTCATGGACCACACTGTCCTCCCCCTCCTCATGGACCACATCACCACCATCATCCTCACCATCACGGACCACACTGTCCTCCCCCTCCTTATGGACCAAAACACCGCCATCATCCTCACCATCATGGTCCACACTGTCCATTTCCTCCTCATGGACCACGCTGTCCTCCCCCTCCTCATGGACCCCACTGTCCTCCCCCTCCTCATGGACCCCACTGTCCTCCCCCTCCTCATGGACCCCACTGTCCTCCCCCTCCTCATGGACCCCACTGTCCTCCCCCTCCTCATGGACCCCACTGTCCTCCCCCTCCTCATGGACCCCACTGTCCTCCCCCTCCTCATGGACCCCACTGTCCTCCCCCTCCTCATGGACCCCACTGTCCTCCCCCTCCTCATGGACCCCACTGTCCTCCCCCTCCTCATGGACCCCACTGTCCTCCCCCTCCTCATGGACCCCACTGTCCTCCCCCTCCTCATGGACCCCACTGTCCTCCCCCTCCTCATGGACCCCACTGTCCTCCCCCTCCTCATGGACCCCACTGTCCTCCCCCTCCTCATGGACCCCACTGTCCTCCCCCTCCTCATGGACCCCACTGTCCTCCCCCTCCTCATGGACCCCACTGTCCTCCCCCTCCTCATGGACCCCACTGTCCTCCCCCTCCTCATGGACCCCACTGTCCTCCCCCTCCTCATGGACCACATCACCACCCTCCTCCTCCTCCCCATGATGGACCACATCCTCCTGCCCAAGAGGAACCAGATCAACCTCCTTCTGTGCCTCCTCCCCATGATGAACCACGTCATCCTCCTCCTTCCCAACAGGAATTACGTAATCTCCCTTCTTCTCCTCCTCCCCATGATGAACCACACGATCCTCCTCCTGGTCCCCCTCCTCATGGACCACACTGTCCTCCCCCTCCTCATGGACCACATCACCACCATCATCCTCTCCATCATGGACCACACTGTCCTTTTCCTCCGCATGGACTAAAACACCACTATTCTCCTCCCCATTGTGGGCCACACTGTCCTCCTCCCCCTCCTCATGGACCACATCACCACCCTCCTCCTCCCCATTGTGGGCCACATCACCCTCCTCCTCCAGGACACCCTCCTCATCTCTGTCATCACTGTCACAGACATCACCACAAGACAAGCAAATCAGGAAAGTACTTCCCATGCCAAGTAACAGGAGCCGTCTATCGCATTCCAGTTCTAAATCAGCAGGATTCTCTCATACCTCCCACCGCAAACTTTACTGAGCTATCCCAAAGCAACACTCACTCCTCCAGCACTGGTGAAGGTTTTCCCTTCACAGGGTCAAGTCTAAAGGAGATACCAGAAGCTCTGGGTTTTCCAGATCACCCTACACAATCAAAGTCATGCCCAGGAAAACCCAAACTTGTTCTTCCAAAAATTTTGCCTTTATTTCCACATAGCTCCATGGCATAAAATTCTGCTACGTGGCCTCAGTAAAGGATGTTCCTGGCTTAAGCATTGCATAGCCAGTTAAAGTTTTGCAGTGAATGGAAACAGCACATGGAGGAGGGGAAAGAGCACACAATTTCTAGGGAGGAGAAGCACTGAAAATAATGATTAAGAGAAGTATTCCAACCTGCCTCTTGATCCCAGATATCTCAGGCTCCACTATATCTGAAAGGCTCAAAATTCTGAGTCCCTCAGATAATGTGAATGGGTACAAATCTCCCCAGCAAACAACGCTCCTTTTGTTCTAACAAAAAGGAAAATTCCCTAATAGTGAAAAATACCATCTAAAATCTTTCATTTTCTCATCATTCATAATTATAATGTACTTCTCTGAGGAAATCTGACTTAGAGGAAATTTGACTGCCTTCCATAAAAAATGATCCATGACACTACATTCATGCTTTATAAAGATATAAAAATAAAAATATGTAAGCATTTTTTTTTTCTTGACATCATTGCCAAAGTTTTGTCTTTTTTGTTAGATAATTTTGTCCACCATTATCTAGAAAAAGCCCGAGAACAGTTAATGACTTGCAGTGTAACACTGCAGGGTGGCCTGCACAGGTACTTCCATTGCTACAGCTGCTGGTGGTGACGTACCAGAAACACTGCGTTCAAGGACAGCCCTTTTCAAATAGTTCATAATTGCTCTTGGGGTGGAGGGGATGGCAGAGAAAAGTAGATGTATGTAATAACTCTTTCTTGTAAATGTTTTTTTAATCACTGAACCCTCCTCACTGGAAACCGAGTTGGTAGGAGCAGGAAAAAAGGATACTGGTGTCTCTTTATCTAGTCCCCACCTACGTAAAGCCCATTCAGACAGATCTGGGATCCCAATGAGCTAGTTCAGAACAGTTATCTCATAAGCAAGAACACGGGATTAATCTCAAAAAATCAGTGATTTGGTTCTCAAAGTAGCTTTTTAATGGCATAAAGTAAAATACGGTGTGAGGGCTACATTGAAGAAAAAGAAACAAAATGAGGACAGTATTTTGTGTAACTGAGTGAAGGTTGTCTGATTTTTAAAAGCGAGTTATCATGTACAAACAACCTTGGTTTTGGCATAGTTTATCCACAAAGCCTGTAAAGTGCATTTTCTTTAATGAAAAATTGTAGCAAGACCCAATGGGAACACTAAAGCTGAGGCAATCCCAAGATGTTCACAGATTCAAAGCAAAGGTATTTGGTGCTCAGCACTGGAGACAAGCACCAGAAGTTCCCAGACAGCTCCAATTCTGGCTCTGACAGACACTGGCAACCTTAATCCCTTGTTTTTGGGCATCACTTTCTCTATCTGTAACGATAACAAAACATTATGAAAACTGACTAATCCATCGTCCAAAGGCAGTCTCCACATGGTGGTAAAGATGGACACTTCCAACAGTAGCATGAAGGACGAGGTTTATCGAGTGTTACTGAAGAGCTATGTGACATTCAATTACATGTATCTGTCGAAAGACTTTTTTCAACCATGTTCTGACTTCTCAGAACTATTGCAGTCTGAACACTACACAGATCTATAAAATTTACAGGGTTCTTGTCCAGAAGCAGAAGTTCATTGCCACTGTGACCTTCTTGGGTGTTTTATTTAACCCTCCTAAAATTCATTCTCACTAGTATTTTAGCTATTAAAAAAAGAACCTAGAAAGCTACCAACATTCCTCTCTCTCACTCAGGGGCCATCCTGCTTAGTCTAAACCTGTCCCCAGCTGCAGCCATTTAGCCTGTTATCTTGATGGCAGGTCGATAACCCTAGTGTCATTCTGGTGACCACACAAAGTTTATTTAGATAAACTCAGAAGTTTATTTGCACTATAAACAGGGTATGATGAGAATCAACCAACCCCAGCAACCCACTCATTCTGTTTACGTAGCTATTGCTTCTGAAAAACAGAAGAGGAGACTAAAACCCTGTCAGGCATTCCTTTTCCATTTTGGTTTTTAAAGAGCCTCCTAATTCAGGGGGCCTTTTTTGTCCAGTTATGAAACCTTTCATTGTACTAGCACTCTGCTGTAGTTTTTTCTCTAGCAGAGCCACCCCTCTTCCATTTGAATTTTTGGACTGTGATGACCCTGATGTCTTTAAAGCTGTCGACACAGCACTGAAGAAATACAATGGAGACAGAGAAACTGGTAATCAATTTGCTCTATACATCGTGACGGAAGCCAAGAGAACTGTAAGTAGACTTTGAAAAAAAAAAAAAAAAGAAAAAAAAGAAGTTGGTCTTGTTTATGCCCTCTGATCCAGATTATCTCCATCTTGTTCATAAGAGAGCAAGCGCGACAGCAAAGTGTCTTCCAAAAATGTTTTAAAAAAAATAAAATAAATTACTTGCACAGTAAGATACTCATTACCATGACAAGCAGGGATGTATATTATGTTCTTATCAACAGAATTACATGTGCTGGTAAATTGCTTATTAATGCAAGGACTAAAGAACAGAAAATTTCTATCACTAATGCAATTTGTCTTATTAGTCCACTGTTTTCTCCTTTCTCTGTTGGGAATTCTACCCCGTTCCATCATCAGTAAGGTTTTCAGATCAGTGCGAAAACCACACTTCCTGAAAAAGCTGAATATTATCTTGACTTGGGAAGAGCTGGTATCACACATAAAAAGAATGACCTGATAAAATTTGTCAATACTCTGAATGAACTGTTTGTGAATATTACTTGATTGACAGGAGTCCTGAGTCACAGATCTATCTAAAAGCGTTAGGTGGTATTTTAGTCAAACAGGGTGACAGCTAAAATTACAGAAGAAAAAAAGAATGAAACATGATCCTTTGCCTGGAGTCCTTCTCTATAGCCTTAATCTAACAAAAGAGCATTTACCTCCAAGAGGCATACAAAGATGGTATTACCATAATAATGACAAGCATTACTTTACTTGAAAACAACATTAGCATTTTTCTCTACTGGATTGGATTTTCAGATGTAAAACACAAGAAAACCAGTGTCGGAGAGAATATTTTGCACTCCAAAATCACAAGGCACTTTTACCCAGATAGAAATTGACCTCAGAAAGGGGACACGAATTACTAATCGCCTTACAGTAAAATACCCACATCTCCTGGCATCTACCCTCTGGTTTTCCTGTTTTCAACCTGGGGAGATTTTAGCACGCAGTGACAAAGACTAAAATTTGGCAAACCCTTTATACAATTCATATTAAACAAAGGAATAGTCCCACCGTCTTCACTAAACTACACACATCCTTAAAAACAGTCAAATGCAAACATCTTTATATCAGAGCTGTAACACCACCTTCCTTTTGCTGATGTTCCCAAAGAACAGACATTAGTTTCAATATTTTATCTTAAACAATGTTCTATTTTTAAGAATACATATTTATTGCCATTGTTATCCATTTTCCCTTTTCCTAAATGATCAGAGGTGGAAATCAAGTATTACTTTGAATCGTTGATCTGACTATGATGTTGGGTAAAACACAGAGAAAAGGAATCTGCAACAGACATTTCCTCATATTCTATATTCTTTTTTAAAAAGAGTATAGATTTTACTCATCGTTAGTCTCACAATGTTGAATGCATTAATTAAATAGCTGGTTATTACATATTCATGTACATTCATTATTGATAACGTAATAAAACATAAAAGCTGACTGGTGAAAGACTGAACCTGCCCCAGTTAAAGGCATAGCTGTTCATAATAACAATGAAATAAACCAGCAACAAATAACACACAGAAACAATGGCTTTTCTCACCTATTTTGTTTACTCATTGAGCTGATTTATTGCAGATTTAGAACACCCTCACAGAGAACAGAATTTGTCTCTTTTAAAATCCACATCACAGATAGTATAATCTGACACAGCTCCATAAATGTCAATTTATACCTGCTGAGGATTAAGTCCATTATATTTTTAGAGATCCTTTCATCCTGTTTTACAACCTGCAACCACTACATCAGGAACCTCTACACACCTCTTCTTAGTTGTAGCAATACACAACAGGAATTGAGAGAAGACAGAATATAATTCTGTGTCTACACCTGCATAAATCCACTATATTCCACCCACGCCAGCTCAGCTTCACTTTCTCGGTACTGCTAAGGCACGAATTATCATTTAATTCTCCCAGCAGTATCACTGGAGGATAACCAGTGCTAAAGTACAGCAGCTGCCTGGGTTTGTATTTGAAAAGGCACATTGGCAGAGTGGTTTTAGTGGCTGCAAAAGGTTAGTAACTTCTGTCTTTATATCTCCTCTAAAGCATGAACCACAAACCTTGCAGGGTGTTAATGCTACGGGTAGGCACAGGCTCACTGCTCAGTTTACAGCAAGGAGAAAATGCCCCCTACTGATTTACCAACATCAGAAACACTTCCACTGGCCAGGCCAAGCTTTGCTCAGTACTTTGTATTTCAACTTCTGGGATTCCTGGGGCTACCCTCACGAGCAGCTCAGCCTTCAACACCTATAGGAGAAGCACAGGCACCGCCAAAGGCTGTCTCCAGAGCGTATGCCCTCCTCGCCCCTTTCCCCGGAGTAGGCAGCACAGTTTAAGTTCCCTGTTACCACAGGGTAAAGGCAGTTTGGGCGCTGCCAGGCTGCCTGAGGGTTGTTGGCTGCTCTTTCTGGCTGCCAGTACAGTTGCACAGAAAGAAAGTAGACAGATCTGGGAGGAGGCCAAGAGTGAGGGTGAGGGAGTCAGACTGGAGCACAGTCCAAACTGGTAATTCCACTAACTATCCAAGCAGCAACACAAATTTGCTTATGTGGAGTACATTTGAATGAGAGTATAAAACCTAACCACTTCTTTCTGGTCTAAAACCCCTTGGTACTACACGTTAAAATTAAGGTAGTTGAGCATATTGTATCTATTGTGTCAACATACTGTAATTGTAGGTAAGGGCTCAGTAATAGAATTAGATAAGTTAATTATTGAACTACCAAGGTTTGGGAGACCTTGCACGGAGAACAGCAGCTAATCTGAAACCATACTATAAAACAGAAGGTAACCAATAGATCGTACTTGCCTTTTGAAGCTCTTATCTCTTCACTTGATTTATTACTATGTAAATGATGACATGCGTATTGTTTTTATCCAGGCAGGTCCTGATACACAATTCCATGTGAAATACAAAATACAAGAAACCACTTGTGCCACTGAGGAAAACAAACTCTGGCAAGACTGTGATTACAAAGTACCTGCAGAGGCTGTAAGTATCTGTCCTCTTTAAAAGTTCCCTATACAGAAACATCAGCATAATGACCAGCACTACAGCTGCCTGGGGAAAAATACAGTAAAGAATTTAACTTTTTTAGCTGTGTTGCTTTTGAGAGCTTATAGCACTAAAGTTCAGTACAGAAATGTTTACAACTCTAAAGTTAACCATTACAACTGTGAGTTTACCATTAGAATCCTGAATATGTGCAGGAGGGAACATTTCAGCGCTTCAATATGAAGGTTCACAATAAACTCAACATAAGATACATGCACTGTGAGAGTGCGAGGGCTGTAAAACTTTCTGTTAATTCTGTATAATGGAAACTTCCACAACCAAATGGACTCCAGATCTGCACCAGCAAAAATACTGACGTGGAAGCCGCCATGGCACAAAATTTAACATGCAGGCTTCTAGCAGTGCAAAGCATGTCTGGCTCATGCTACTAAAAAGCAGGGATTGGAGGTACAGCTGGGGCACACACAGCACGCAGGAACACTGCGCCTTTCCAGTGGAAGTCACTGTCATTTCACACAGTACACAGTGCAAGGAAAGGGATGACGGTGATAATATCATTTGAATCAACGTGAAACACCATTGTCATTGCTGCATATCTTGTACTAGTAGAGAGGAAATCAGGTAAATACACAATTTATACAGACTGTATTTATGAGGATGTGTTAATTTCCATTATTCTGACTGTAAATTCTTTAGATATTTAACAAGCATCACTCACGACACAAAGCAATCTTTCAAATTATCTGCTCAGTTCATCCCCTACTCTCCTCACAATCAACAAAACAATTCATTTTACAGTAACAAACCAGCAAATTAAACTTTACTACAAATGTACATGCGAACTTGTTCCCCTAACTTAATTTGCAACTGTCAACTTTGTCCAATAGCTAGAGGAACACACAGCACTGTATTTTTCTTCAGCAAGTTTGAGACAAATGTTGTCATATGTTTTTGCAGAGAACAGGAGAATGCACAGCTCAAGTTCACATGAGTAATGATGAAAATACAAGTAATGTTTCTCAAGAGTGCAGAATTTTTCCAGGTATGTAACTATTTGGGGCAGCATTCAACAAGTATGTTGACAAATAAGAATGGGAAAAATACAATATGGAGACTTTGAGGTAATTTTAAAGGTAGGAGCTCATTATCATTCTATTCAGACATATTTATAGATATATATCTTCCATAAGCAACTACATGTTTAAGCTAAAATTTTTCTTCACTGTTATACATATATAAGTTAAGTCAGTGAAGCACTGGCAGTTTCTATCTGGGGTAATGAAAACCTGCACACACATGTGTATTAATTTCCTTCAAATACTGGAATTATACCAAGTTAAAATGACTTTGCTTAAGACCAAAAGCATATCAGTAACTTACAGACTTACACTTAAATTTTCTGTCTTTACTTATTCACTTATAAAATTTTGCCAGAAATTATTAGAAAAAAAACTTTATATTATTCCTTAATTTTCTCCAAACTAAAAATTACTAAATTATTTCTGCTAAAGTTTACTAAAAACATATATTTACTCCCAACCAAAAAATGAACAAAAAAAAATTTCATCTACAAAAGAAAAATCTAGCAGGGATGTAATTATGTAAGAGAGACAGTGATATCTTTTAGACCTTAACAATAAGCAGTACTATGTTTCTTGCCTGTAAGATATTCATATATGACTATTATGTTCACACAGTAATTTCCTTTATTAGAAAGAGATCACATTGTTTTAAAGCTTTGCAACTGAGATCTCTATGTGCCTATGCCTACCGTTCATGTAAGACATATTCAAACTAGTTTTAAAATATCCGTCTAACAGGCAGCAGGGAGCTAAGTCCATATTAACTATAGAAATGTTTACCATGATTTCTGAGATGTTTGGCATCTTCTCTTTGGTTTTTGTTCTAGTTATCTTGTTTAAAGCTTAAATGGCTATACCTGCAGCCAGTGTCGTTCTAGGAACTGCAGTACACGCAAACTCCATATTCCGCTACTGAACAAACACTGCTTGGTGTGGACACATTTGCAGGGCAATGGTGACATCTAGTTGCCAGTAAAGGGTGTGTGAATCACGCAGAGAATGCATGGGAAATTTGCATTCGAATCTTTGCTTAGAATGCAAAAGAAAATACATAAATTAAATGAATCATGTATTCAGCCTAAGCAGCTCATCTCTTCTTACCAAGTTCCAGCAACTCTGAAAAAAGAATACGCCATTGTTCAGCACTTATGAAAATGCTGAGACCACAGTCAGTTTAGAACTGGGTGTATTGTTGTTTTATTATCTCCTTTGCGATTACTCCCTGAAAACATGGTCACATTTTTCTGTAACATGTATGTATTTGTCATTACTGACTCAAAATAAGTAATGCTAGAAATACAAAGGGCCAGACTTTGTTCAAGCACCCCTTGGAGAGCTAAGACTAAATAGTATTGCTTACACTGCAATATTGCAAAGGTACAGAGGAGCCAAATCAAGTCCAAAGGATTCAAACATAAAGAGTGAACCAATAGACCCTCACTGGTGAGGGACTTCCCCACACATTAGGTACCATACAGTTCAGCCTTCTTGGTGGAACAGTTTGATCACACTGACCCTGGACTGGTCTCCTGGCTGGTGCAAGCTGGCAGAACTCCACTAAAGCCAGTTTATGCCAGCTGAGCATCAGGCACACAAATTTTACTTCAATACCACAGAGACCACATATTGTCCCACTTTCATTCTCAAGCTCACTGAATCATGAAATTAATTTATGTACTGAACTATAAAATTAATTTATGAAAATCCAATCCATGATTACTAGAAAGGAAGGAGAGTTAATAGGATTAGTAGTAAGAAACAGAAGTTTGAGCATCCCCATCAAGCTTGTCTATCCACAGTCAGTCCAGTTGGTTAAGCCTGACAGTAATACCAAGTGCTAACTGGCAGCCAAAGTGAGTAGCAGGGGGAGTTCAAACACCACCACAGTGGAATAGTCCAACCACAGTCCCTAAGGAGCTCACAGTCAGGGTAGTTCACACATGTGAGCCAAAACACTCCTGCCAAAGTCCCCATCCTGAAACACGGTGAAGACAGTAAGCAGCTGCACACAGTGGGTGAGCTTTGAAGAATCTGAAGAACATCTCCTTAGCTGTAACCTCCACTGGTTCTTCCCTGACTGAATTGGTGATGACCCTCCCTTAATGGTGTTAAAACTACATGTAAGGTTTTTCAGAGATTCAATGACTCCTGAACTCAATCACTTCTCTGAACAAAGTTTGCTGTTGAAGCCACGCCTGGATCCTAATGCCATGGATGGCCCCTACCACCGCAAACCACAGCATGTTTCTAAATACAATTAATGTCTTTGCAGGCCCTGAAACTGAACTGTGGGGTTTGCTGGTCACTCCAATTAAAAGCAGGACTGGATCTTGCTCATTGAGCCTTTTCTCTCATTCCCAGATATGAAAAATTAAAACCTGAGGCTGTTTTGCATTAAGCCATATTTTTGTTTGTTTCTTTCTTTCTTTTCCAGCTACGCCAAAGATAACACTTACTGAGGCTGCATGTCTTGGATGCTTTCATCCTATATCAAGTGACAGTTCAGAAGTGTCAGAAATTCTGAAACAAGCCATTGAAAATTTTAACAAGCACAGTGCTGAACCCACCCTTTTTAAGCTTGTGGAAATAATAGATGCTAAAAGACAGGTTTGTGTATGATTTTTCTTTTCTCTCCATTTATAAGGAATCATAAACACTTACCTACTGGATTTTCAGACCTGTCAAGTTTACAAACTGATAGTAAAGATATTTTTTCTTTATCTGCAGTTGCACCTAACCAGTGTTTAACACCAGTTTATTTTCATTCACTGCCAACATAGCCATCTTCTGTCATCTCAGATGCTCTCGGGTATTCCACTTGGCCTCTCCCTGAAGCTCCAGCAGGAGCAGATCTCTCCTAGGTTCTGTGCCAAAACTGACAGCCTGCACAGATGTCTCACACACTCTACAGCCTCTCAAACAGCAGCAGGCACCTATGTTCTTGCAATACAATAGGACCCATATGCCGGCAGCTGCTTTACACCATAGGACGGGTAAACCCTATATATGAAAAATTAGTAAGAAAAATAAAAAGCCAGGCACTTGGTGAAAGATTTCTGCACACAGGAATATCTGCTTTGCAAGAAATGGCTGCTCAGGTCGCAGAAATTACATGTCATCTGGTATTCCACGCAACAATTATTTCTCTGTGAAAGGCTCTCCTAGAGATTGTTGTGGCATTGCTAGAAAGTAAAGTTTCTTATTTGTTTTTTAACTAGTATGTAACCCGACACCAAATACAGATGCTTTTCTTTGAATGTGCATGTATTTATTTAGCCAAAAAGTATCTTCTGGTCTCATGTCAATTTGACCCGTGATTTAATTCAGACTGTTCTCTCTCTCTTTACTGACGGCAATGATCTTAGCCAAAAGACAAGCTCGCACAACATTTAAGACACATTACAAAAATGTCATGGACAAAATGCAATCCAGCGGCTGGAAAAAGAGCCATCACGTCACTTCTGGCCAACAGAGACTAGTCAGAGCCCTCCACTTTAATTGTTCTGGCATGGAAAGTTCCTGTATTTTATTATTTCTCCTTTTTAATCCAATGCTACCTGACCCAACACTGTGACATGGAGAAATTTCATGGGTGAGAAGCAGTAGCCACAGTGAGGAAAACTTGAATGGCTTCCTGGAGAGAAAATGAAAAAAAAGTCACAAATCTGGACAAAACAGCAGGCGGGGAAAGGTAAAGCCCAAGGCAGGCGCAGTTATAGGGAGATTAAAAATGCAGGTCACTCAGTAACAAATGATGCCAGCAGTACAATGTCACATTACTCAGATACTGTTATACTATGTCCCACGCTCAGGAACGCAGGACTTGCCGAGCTGTATTAGTGTAGTCATCTATTTAGACCAGCTTCCTGTCACTGGAGTAATAAGTAACAGATACTTGGGAGGAAAGGGCAAGAAACCAGACATTATAAGGCTCCAGGATTGCCAGGAGAAGGGGAATCCAAATACAAATTGCACTTCTAATACATGCATAAATTAGTTTTCTTTTTGTATCACAAGGACAAGATTTTTTTGCTGTCCATGAATACTCTGTGGCTCAATGATTGCAATGTGATTTGATGGATGGAAGAGTAGTTTTCCTTTCTTTGCTAATCACATTTAACAGTTTAACTTCCAAGTTTGTATTGGTTTAAATAATGTATCTCTGAAATATCTGTTCCAGGTGGTAGCTGGATGGAATTATGTAATTAAATACGAAATCAAGGAGACTAATTGCTCCAAAGATCAATTTCAAGATTTAACTCCAGAGTGCAAAATCATTTCTAGTGGTGTAAGTAATCTTCAAAATCTGTTTATCAAGAAAATATCATATTAGCAAATAATCACTGAGATTTGACTCAAGAAAATACTATAGTCTTGCTTCACTTTGTGAATGAAGTTTAAATCCAGGCTTACAGATAACTGTCTATTTATGCAATTAGAACATCCATGTCTTCTCCTAAATCAGAGACGAAGACAACTACTGAAATGTTTACAGATTACTGTATAGAATCTAAACAGTCTCACCTGAATAATAAACCCCTTGAGAAGTTCCTATCCAGATATTCAAGGAATTACTCAGGTACAACCCAAAAAGTGATAAGTAAAATTAGTACCATTTTCCCAGCTTAAGACATATTTTCTAAGAAAAGTTAGTACCTGAATTATTACTTAACCTCTACCACAGTCCAAATAAGAGAGCTTCAAAATAAATTTATTAACAAACATACATACTCTAGCTAAACAGTGCTGCAAAACCAGGTACTTCCTCGGCTTCTCTGACCTGGAACAGAATTAACTGCAGCAAAAATAGAGGGTTTTTTTCTCAACCAGCCTCCCTGAACCAGCTCACCAGGGGGTCAGACAAATGCTTCTGCGAATATAAGGTAGAGGGCAGGAAAACAGAGTCATAACGAACAGTGGTGGCAAATGGGAGGGGAAGAACCACGGAAGTCCTAACTCACACCTGTTCCAGCTGCTGTGGAAGTACGCTCTTGAGTGTGACATTCAAGAGCCTCTCTTTTCAAAAATTACTCCTTGGATGTCTCAATAATTTTTCAGGATGTTTCAGAAAGATTGATAAAAAAAGGAAAGAATGACAACACTGTGGTAACAATGGGAGAGTGAGAATCAAGACTAGCTGAAGCAAATATCTATTACTCACACTCGCCCTTAAGCCTTAAGCTCATTGAGATACTGCTGTGATCACACAGGCTTTGTGGGATTGGATCTCTAACACTCATCCCCTGAAATATTAAGCAGCCTTGCTACTGCTTGTTCATTGACAGATATTATTGGAATATGATGTTTCAATAATATTCCATAATTAGAAAGACCAAATTCCACAGAAGTTGTTTGGTACCTTTATTCAGCTCTGTACTATTCATTTTGAAATGGAAGACCAGAACTGCACCCTGTATTCAACAGGCATGTGAACCACAGAGCTACAGTGGGACATAAAGTCATCCTCTCTAACCTGGACAACAAGCCTTGACGTTATTTTTTTATTACTTTTCCTAAACCACTACTAAGCAGATTTTTTTATGGATGACGTTTTCAAGTACCTGTCATAGTCCTAAGATGTTGATCTTGAATTGTAACAGTCTTCCTTCTTATTCTACAGTTGATTTGTTTCTTTTAGATCCTTTGATAAGGCACTTCACTGAAACCTTTCTGAAAATCTATGCATACTTTATCAACAGGTCTCTTTACCCGCTTTTGTTGAATGCTTTTGAAGAACTTAGACAAACCTGCAAAATACATCTTCTGTTTACAGCAAAAACCCCAGTCCCTCCTTGATGTATTCACGCCCCCTAGTTCTCTCCTTATTACCATTTCTAATCCTTGAATGGTACAGACATCAGTTTTATGGGTCTATAACCCTTTTAAAACAGAACAGGATCAACATCTGCCTTGTTCCAGCCCTAAGATATCAAGGCAATTCTAAGTCTTCTACCACAGCTCCTTTAGAACACCTGAGTAAATACAAGAGATTCAGTAACGTTTGATTTGTTAATTGCATAATCTTCTTTTCGGTCTTCACAGTTTGAGACAGAAATTCCAGTGAGTTCTCCATAAAATAGGATTCTGGCTTATAAACCTATTTCCTTCTGTAATGAACACATACAAATAGTTCATTTAGCTTCTTTTTTATGGTTTTATTTTCTCTGAGTGATCCTTTTGATCCCTGATCATTTATTGGCTCTGCAGATGGTCTCTCAGGTGTCTTGCTCCCAGTATATTGAAGGAAGGAAGGAAGGAATTATGTAGTATGCTTGACTTATTCTGTTAGCAGGAAGGTATTAGGATGTGAGCTAGTTCATTATTTCTAAATAATAAGAAGTTGTTTTGGGTTTTTTACTCAAGCGTGTAGGTAAATGTGATGCCAAAGCATTTCAAAATCTTCAAGCGGAGATCGTAGATACTGCAAGCCAATGCAAGCTTCCAGGTACGTCATAGGCACTATCAATTTTAAAAGTTCTGCAATTTTCAATGTTTTTTTTACAGCTGTAAAAAAAAGACAAAATAAAAATGCAAAAGATGAAAAGAGATAATAACAAGATAAAGTAATTTTTCTGGGACAAAAAAAGCACTGCCTCTTAATGAAACATTACCACAGATTTTTTTCAGTTCCTACAGGTGTTTCACAAGCAGCTGAAAGTTACATTTTATCATTTGTATACTGCCCTATTTCTGTGACATGGAGCAGGTTACTGACTCTCTTTTGGAGATTAACAGATACAAAGCCAAAGAGTATAACTGTCTGACAAAAAGTCATTCCTTTTCCACCACAATGATGAGCAAGTTAAAATCCCATTGGTTAAATAAGTAACTTCTAACTTTCCAAAGAGCTCCAATGCCTTCTTTTAAAGGCAAAGGAGCTGAGGACTTTTAAGATTTTGTCCCAAATTGGTATGTTAGAGGCTTTCTTTTTTCCCCATTAAATAAATTATTTAGAATTTATAATTTTATTACAGTCAAACTCCCAAATTGTTACTTTTTCCTCCAGCCATCTATTTAGACGCTGACTATCACAGCTCCGGAGCTTTAGAACAGAGAGTACAGTGCTAATCCACGTAGTAAGTGCATGCTGTATTCTCACCCATTCAGACTTGCTTTTCTTCAGGAAATCATAATGATATTCTTCAGCTCACTCATTCATTGGCAGTAACATGAACCTCTTGTTTCACCTGATTCAGGTCCTTCCAAATGTGCAGATGTTCCCTCTCTTTATTTGCTAGCTCCCGACAACTGGTACACACAATTCTCGTTCCTGTGAGAAAACTGCTGTTAAGTGTCCAATGCGACACTAGGTGCTGATCCAACGCTCTTGTAGATAACGAAGATATGATAATGCCTATCATATAAAACTCAAAGACATTTTGGTTTCATTTGATAGACCCAAATACATAGCGTTCCAGAAGGCAGTGATTTATAACTGTTTTTCACAGCTTTTATCTACGTTGAATCCTTAGATGTGAAATCTGTTGGTTTCTTTCAGTCGACGAGACAGTAATTCCTGCCACTCACACGGGTTGTCCAAAGACTATCCCAAAAGACAGTCCAGAACTGAAGGAACTACTGAAGGTTTCTATGGAGAAGTATAATTCAGAGAGCAACGATGATTTCTACTATAAAGGTGGAGAAATAGAAACGGCAACAGTTCAGGTTGGGATATACCAGAGAGATGAGGAACAGACAAGGCAGTGTTATTGGTCTGAGTTGAATGTTATCTAAAGTTTGTATTTAGATCTGAAATAATGTTTTTCTCTAAGTCTTGATACATGTGGTAACTGAAATATCCATGCAATATTTCTTGCAAAATTTCATCCATCTTGGTTTACATTCAGAAGTTATTTTAAAATCTCCCATCTCTTCGTTTTTTATTTTCCTTAAAACAACATTCTTTTAAAAGCATGTGAAAAAGGCTGACTTAGGGTATCTAATTTCTGTATATCTACCCCACTTTTTACCAGCCTTTGTAAAATGCCTTAGACTTTTAAAGTAGCAGAGTAGGAACTACTCACTTGATTTACCACCAACACTTTGTATGTTACATTAAGCACTATCCACCCTACAGCAGCTGCAAGCTCCAAGAGATGGGGCTTCTCAATTTCCCTTAGTAATCTGTTGATTTACATACAGACTCTGCTGCTGAGAATACTGCAGCTAGATTCACAAGAAAACATCTGTGCATAACTTAATATTTACAGATAAATACAGCTGGATAAAGAAGAACAAGGAATCAAGAGGATAATATTGTCAGCATTTGCATTTGCCTTGTTTACTGTCCCAATATATCAAACCAGAAATTCAGGACAGAACTGAAGATAAGACAGTGGAGTAGTTCAGAAAATGTCAACAGCTTCTCCTGAGCATGAGGGGTACCGCTGGAGAAGCACTAAAAGCACACCACAGTTTTTCTGAAGAGCTCATGTTAGCTTACTATCTGTGCTTTTGCTTCTTTTAAGCCTTTTTAGTTCTTTGTCACTTTTCATATCAAGATTGATATTAGCATGCATACATTTTAGAAATAGACTTAAAAAAGAGAATTTCATGTTTTGCCTGCTGTCTCTGAGACAAGATATATTATCTTGGGCTCTGTAAAAATTACTAAGAGAACTCGTACCAGGCACATTCTTGAACCCATGCAGTTTCTCTCCTTAATGCATTTGGCAAATATGTTCATTTTCAACAGAGCCTGTTCACCACACACTTCATTTTACTCCCATTCCACTTTTCTTACATCATATTTGGCTCTCTATAGAGGTATCTCTAATGATTTCATTTGTTATTAATGAAATTAGTACAGGCATCCAACAAAACAAAGCCAAAACTGTGGGCCTGATATTATTCTGACCTTTCCGTTTCCTTCAATTTCAATGCTGGAATTTTTGAGAATGGAAACTGGAGTAAATGAGTAAGTTGATTAGCAGCAGATAGGTTTGCTGCCAAATATTTTCATATTGTTCTCAACATATGTTGTCCCAATGGTCAGGACTTGTAGAATATATGTAGTATAAGCTTGTAGAAAAACATCTTTCCTGTGAACCCTTTTCAATAAAATGCCTTTACCACAGGAAGGCCTTCTTGCTAATTTTTCAGGTGGTTGCAGGACAAAACTACCATTTAACTTTTCCAGTGTGGAAGACAAACTGCTCAAAGAAAGAGTTCGAAAAATTTAATGAAGACTGTGAAGCCGCATCAGACAGTGTAAGTAGTGATGATGTTGCCAACTATAATGTTCCTAATGGACAAAGTCATTTGCACCTGAAATCGTAAGCACTTAAGTAAAATCCCATCCTGAGTTCTGTTACCTCTTTCAGTAAACTTTTGTTTCAAAAAGAAGGACACCTTTCACTGATTGTAAGCTGAGCCAGTGGCAATGGCAGTAAAACATGAAACTTAAACTGAGTCACTCCAACTGCAGGATCAGTGCTCACTGCAAAGTGAAAGGAACCTTCTTCTGATAGTAATGAACCAAAGACAGGAGGGGAGGAGGCTGCTGTGAAATTAAATAGCTGCAGTACTCCTGACTCTGTGGACTTGCAGCTAAGGAAAACATGAGACTGGAGTGTTACTGGTGTGCAAAGGAATCATGTTTCTGGAGTGCATGCTGCTGATATCACGAAAATGTGTTCAAGAACCTGGAAAATAATGCTGATAGGGCCAGAAACCATTGGCAACAAAGTTGGTTGGGAAGGAGAGGCTTTATTTCCGCTGTCTTTTCCCAACATATGAACACTGCTTACACGTGAGATTTTAAAATGTTAGTGCAGCAGGCACCGAGTAGCAAAAAAACCCCACTTTTCTCTTTCAGTTTCACAATTTTCAGTAGGAGAAATACCATCAACAAACAATATTTGTTAGGAATATCACAAAGATTAAATAGTTAGTGCTCCAAAAGTGCTGGAGATGAAAAATCCATTTTTTTCAAGATCCAATCTACAGTCCAAAGTGTTCATATAGGCATACTCTAACACTGAAAAGCTAAGCAGTGATACGTTCCAATACAGAACTCTTCATCACTAAGATGGATTTCATAGATACTTGGGTTCCAAACATATTTGCATTTTAAAGTATTATTTTTAAAAAATAATAATTTTTCATGGACAACTCTCTTCCTTTGTGCCTAATGTTTTGTTGCCTTAAACATGTTGATTTTTATTTTGTCAACAGGCACCATTGCCATGTGAAGCACAAATTCACGTGATCCCATGGGAGAACAAAATCTTTCCCCAGGTTAACTGCTCTAAAGAACGGTCAATGGTATGATTCCTCTTCATTACCCATCATCATAAGTAGAGCACAGAACAAAGGCAGTTATTAAATTCTTTATCCATTCCAAATTATCCCGTATTTCACACCAAAAATACAGGAACACATAGTTCTTTTAACAACCTCAGTAATGCCCACTCCTCCCTCTCACCCTCTAACCTCAGCAACCTGTTGTATCGAAGGTGTAACACCACCAGGTGAGACAGTGGACAACACGGTGATTACAGAAGTACAAAGGCAACAGGACAGAGAGAACATTCTGCCTGTTGACTGCTCCTTTGCCTTATCAGTTAAGCTCTGAAGTATCAAGCCACATCAGCTCATTTGAATTACTGTTCACAGTAGGTTTAAAAATTGAGACAAAAAATGTATTTGGTAATGCAATAATTACAGCCCACAGATTTCAAAAGCATCTGTGAATCTTTTCATATCTAGTAGAGTAACAAATCTCCTGCCACAAGTTGTCAATCTCTGCAGGAAGATTTTCAGTTTCCTTCCTGCTCAGCTCCACTATTAACTAGACCTGAACATGGGTCAGTTTGAAAATTTCAGAATGGCATATAAAACTTTCTTATTATCAGAACTTTTTTGATTCAGATGATTGCAGGTTTTTTAATAAATGCAGGGACTCCCATGCTCCCCAAAGAAGAAGAGAAAATACACTGATTAAAGTGAGAGTGATAAACCTGCACTCATAATCAATAACTTCACTGTGTTCAGCACCTTCATAACAATCTATTAATCCATTATGAATCAAGTAATAAAAGTCTCTACTCTTTGTTTTCACTACAATATTGTATTCACATCAACTTTTTAAATTTAGCTCCATCCCAAACAACTCTGTGTTGCAGCAAGATAATGATCAGACACTTTGGTGGACAGAAATTAAACCCATGTTGGATGCTGACTGTTTACCACACATTCAGTCTTCCAGTTAAACAGCAACGGGGGATAGAGGTTACTCAATAACAACTGAATGTTTCACCCTCTCAGCTTGAACCTATATGTGTTGTTTCTAAGCAGCCTTATGAAATGAGTATGTAAAATCTAGAAACAAAAAACTGAATAGCTACATTTCATATACTAAACGATGCAGACCTCTTGTACATTCTGGTATTGAGAGTACCCAGAGATGTGTTAGCCTTTGGCATAAATTGGTTTTATACATCAGAGTATTATATTCTAACAATCACAGAGACATTTAGTCCTAGAAGTCAACTGTATTGTTCATAAATTAAAACCAGTACATGTTTTCCTCTCTATAATATAATTTCCATGTTAAACTGGCAGAATTTCAGTGATATATAAATTGTTCTTTAACATATAACTGCTAAAATACTCTGGAGTTATTTGGCTAAAATATGGCTATTATTGCACTGTTTTTAGGCTGTACTTGTAAGAAGGCCTCCTGGATTCACACCTTTCCGAAGCTTTGCTATAGTAGACCAGCCAAATGAAATTTCATGCTCCAATAAAAATGAAGAAGAAATGCAAAGACCTGGCAAAGAAACGAGAAAAGATGGTGGACAGGAACCAGAAGGTGAAGGTGAACCTGAGCATAAACACGGGCATAAACATGACCATAAACACAGGCATAAACATGACCATAAACACAGGCATAAACATGGGCATAAACATGACCATAAACACGAGCATAAACACGAGCATGGACATAAAAAGGATCATGAGTCTAACAAAAGGCATAGACATGAAATTGGTTGTGGGCACAGAAGTGGCCATGGGTGTGGGCATAAAAAACACAGTAAAAATGGTAAACACAAACATCCAAAACTCAGCTCTTCTGAGGAGTCTGATGAAAAGGTTTTTAATCAAAACGAAACCTTCCCATCATCCAGTCCTGAAACTGCAGCAGAGCTAGTTAACCCAGGGGTTGCAAGAAAGGAAACCAGTATACCTGCAGAAGCACTAATTCTTCATGATACTTCTTTATCTAATGTGTTGCCTGATCACACAGAATCTCCTCAACCCAGGTGTCCTGGAAGACCATGGAAACAAATTATGGACCTTCCAGCTCCTTCTAGCTTTCCCAGGGAATTCACCAATGAGGATCTCTTGCCTTCCTCAGCAGAAAACATGAATCCAGCAACAGAAGATGCAACACCTCCCCAAATTGAAGAGAAAGACCTTGATCTTGCAGATGCTTTGCTATAATTCAAACATTGTAGGATCCTTTTCAGAAATTATACATAGGAAAATAAGAAAAATACTGCCTTTTGAAATTTATAAAATATGAAGAGGCAAAAGCTCCTATTCTGTTAGTAAGACATTCAAGCAGGTCACGTCACCAGCACTTCTGTGGACCTAAGACAATATACAGCAATACTCTGTATTTGCATATATTTGCAAAGATGTAAATCAGGAAATGGCACCAGTGATTCAGAACCAGCCTGGCAAAGGGACCAGGCAAGTCAATAGCCTTCTGCTGCAGAAGTTGAAATTTTATCTCCTCTGCCTCAAGCTGCTATAAGCACAGACTGAATCACTGCATCAAATCCCACTGTATGACGTTTAAAACAATGGCACAAAGAATTCTGCAGATTACATGAAGAATCTCAACCAAATATGGGTAAGATAAAAGCAGGCCAATACAGAGCAAGGATGCCTTTCTTAGATAGCTGAAATAGTATTTCTTTAATTTACTGGAGTGAATCTTTTAAAGAACAAAATAAAACAAAGAAACCTGGTTTACTATCTATTTCTTTAAACAAATTAATATTACCACCAGTCTACCACTAGCAGGCTGTTCGGCTGAATGAGATAACAAGGACAGTTGAGAGAATCCTAAATAAGGCAGCTTTATTATTCCCTGTACGTATTATGCTAACTACGCAGTAGAGGCACTACAATTAACAGATTTACATGTGGCAGAGGTGCACAAATATTACAGATCAGATAACCAAATTGCAAACACTTGAGTTACCTAAAATTTGCCTACCTTCTTCCATTATTAGGTTGTGCATAGCTTAGAGACTGGACTGAATTTTCTGTTCTGGGTATCTACCAAAGGTCGAGTTTTCGGTGGGATATATTAGTTAAAAAGCACCAAATATTTCGCAAATTAAAATATGTTTTCCCTCTGTATGGATCCAATAACTCATTCATCTGAAAAAACACCCAGCAATAAATAAATACTTTAATGCCAGATCAGTTCACCAGTTTGAACCACTAACTGCCATAAAAAGTTACTGAAAGGGTAAGGTGCTACGAACAGTAATAATTCACCGATCTTGCTCTAAAAGACCACATTGCTTGAAACCACAATGCGAGTATCCTCCAACACTGCTGCAGAGACAGAGGGGATATTCTCTGAAATTGTTCACCCTAACTGCTGGGGTTGCTGTGGCACCAAGACTGTACACTCAACAGCTGGGAACGTGTCCTTCTCTTGTGTGCTATGCTTCTAGCGCCATCACCTCATCAGTGAGGAAGAGCTAGATAGATGAAGACTACTTAGAGAATGTGAAACAGGTGGATCAACAAGATCAGAAGGTCTTGGTGCAAAAGGTCCAGGAGGATCTTCAAAGAAAAGATAGCTACATGGAAAGCTCAGAAGACAGAAGTGGAAAGGACAGAGACAGAGTGGAAGGGTATGGATGAGGTTAAAAGAACAAAAGAAAACAGCAACGTAGTGGCAAAAATGGAAACAGAGTGAATGGAATGGAGAAGTGACATGGTGAAGGTAGCAAAGCCAAGGAGCAAAAAAGGACAGGAACTGGAGAAGGGAGGTAAGAAAAAAAATTAAAAACAAAAGACCTGTGCAGGAGGGGCTCTCCAACCATGACAGGACAGTCCCCTACACATCGCAGAACTGAACTCACACTTCCTGAATCTAAACATTCCCTGGCTAGTGTAGGTACACTTCTCCTCCCCAATGACTGGCTCCTATGTAAACAACCTTCTGTGTTCAGTTACTTCCCCAGTTCACATGATAGATGACCACACGGTGATCAAAAGAACTCAGCCCTGCTGATAATCCACACTGAGGGAGAATAACTATGATTTTGTACGTGCCATGTTTCTTCATTTTTTCTAATTGCATTAAAAGCTACATTAAAATGATATTTTAAAAGTCATGAAGTCCAGAATTAGAAAATGTCCTTGTGAGTATAAATTCAGCCTGGTTATGTGCATCTAAACATTTTTTTAACACAGTATAATTGGCTGCCATATAGGCATATACTAGATAGACAGATTGATAATTATCTTTCATGACTGGTGATATATAATCAGAACCACTATACTTCCTCTCTTTCTTTAAACAAAGTTACCAGTCTTTATAAAGTCACTACAGCTGGAGCCCCATTTTAAGGAAAAATACAAAAATAATAACTTCTGGATCTATCGCTAATCAAATCCTGCATTGTTTTCTTTCATTAGTTTCCTTGCAGGATACAATGCAAAGTCTATCTTTTCTTTTTAGCACATGACAAGCACCAAACTTACAAAGCTAGGCAAAGGAAATCCTTGAGAGTTATCTTTAGTTGTTTGCTTCTTTTCTTTTTCCTGAACTGGTATGATTTTTGGGTGTAACTGGGAAATGTTTGTGTATGCTGTATTATTAAAAGGAGTATAAGCTCAAAACAGTTTTTCTTTAAATTACTGTACCAGCTTAAGTAATTCATGCAAAATTACAATAAAAGAAATAAAGACGCAAAGATGATAAAAGTAAAGTTTTCTTCCTATCTCTGATCTCCCTCACCTGAATCAAAAGAAAGTCATGCTCTTGACATGTTCTCCCTACAGAGCACATATACATGACCACAAGAAGTGAGACACAGAATAAGTGGTCAGAGTAGGGTAATAAAAGACAAAACTCCTAGATTCTTGACTGCCTTGAATTTACCCCATGCTATAGGGATGATGAGAGTTTTCATTAATGTTTAATACACAGATGACAATTTTGACTTCTTGTTTTTATAATGTACAAAAATAATCACTTTAAAAAAAATCATTCTGGAGTAAAAATCAAAGTGTTCCAGTCTAAAAATTTTGAAACATAATGTTCTGATATTTTTAGAATGGAACTTTTCCATTTTATATTGATGTGTTTCCACAGAAAGTTTTAATTATAACAAAACAGCACTTTCTGATGGAAAAATATGCTGTCAGAAAACTACTGACCAGGCCTGTTTCAGATTTGCTGCTGAATAGCTCTGCAAAACTAGCAGTTTCTCCTATTGCTGGAATCATGCTGGAGTGCTTTATCCAGCGCTTACCATCAATGCTTAACAAGTATTTTTCTCCTTGGCCAGCAGATGTCAGATTTTTTGCCACAGCGTTTTTATGATCTCCAAATTAGTGTTTTCTGATTGCCAGGAAAGGTTTAGTAGGCTGAACATTCAGCATTTCTTCTGGGTTAGTAACACTGTAGACAAAACCCTCACATCTGTGCAATCTGGTTTAAATATTAAGCTCTATCAATAGAGCACAAAAAGTTTGCCAGTTACTTATTATGAGCCAGGTTTATAAATAATGCTCTAAGCGTAATTTCATGAACATAAAAAATAATACCTAGCCCTGCACCAGGAAAATTACATTCTTACTGATACAGATAGTTGGAACTAGGAGTCTGGGGTATGAAAATACGTCTGAATTAAATCTCTGGTCATGGTGCTGCCAAGATCCAGAGCCACCTGATGGCCATTCTGCAGCTGTCCAGATTTAATGTGCTCTCTCTCTTGTTCATTCCATCAGTGACAAAGAGACAAAATATGTGTTTTAACTGACATATGAAAAATTCCTTCACTTCACTATGGATGCCTTACTGGATTTTTGCTATAATTCTGACATAACGTCCTAATCACACTCGGCAATTCCAATCATCCTGTAACGCTATGTTCACATAGCGTAAATAGCCACGGGAAAGAGATGTGCAGGCACCTGCCAACAGAAAATAGTGAGAATTAAGGATGAACAGCGGCATTTGATAAGACATAAGAACCCATTTCTTTCCTTGTTTTCTCAGCTGTCTCAGCCAGCAAGATAATTGCTCCCAATTTAGGAATATCAGCTCTGAGAATAAAATAGGTCTAAGTGGCTACAGAATCAGAAATTACAACACTGCATGGCCATTGTCATATAGACAGAGCTGTACCAAACCCGATGTACAAATTCCTCAAATAGTCTTAAAAAAACAATAGGGATAAATATTCTAAATTCTGTGACCAGCAACTCACACACAACTCCTAATTCTGCTGTGTTTACAAGACTCCACTAGTATAATTCAGCTTCCACTGTTTTAATTAAGCTTCAAGTGAAGTTCATTTGGTAAAATGTAATTAATTAACACAAAGTTTCTACTGCATTCTAAAATAAGAGGAAGTCTGCTTTAAGGAGGAAAGGGTGAAGGTTTTCCTAATTGGGTAAGGCATCTTGCTAGAATGAATACTAGTATCACTGCTGTTCCTAAACTGGTTTCAGTCTGCTGCTCAGTAAAAACCCAAATATAAGCTCCAAAGGAATAATTCCAAACAGTATGCAGTAACAGGTATCACAAACCTGATAGTGATTCTTTTCTCTTCTGCCATGAATACTGATAGTGCTGATCTGTGGGTTGAAGATCAGACATTAAACTACTGGTTTCACACAGCAAACTATTTACCTAGCTGTTTCAGTTCAAAGTGAGTCACAGAGAATCAGAATTCCCCACAGAATCCAGAGTCATGCCAAAGAAGTATACTTGTTTTAATACTGAAGAGCCTGAACCCAAAATATTTTTTATGAGAAGCCACTGTATGAATTCAATGGATGATCCATCTTCCACTGGATGTACTTATTACAAGAGCCCTAACACGCCTCTTGGCTTGAAACAAAAAAAGTAATTGTGTGAGTGAAAAAAAAGGGAGCGAACAAACAAAACCGATTAAGGCAGGGAATGAATGAGGATGTACTTTTTGTCCAGGGAGGACATATTTTAAACTGAAACTTAGACTACTATAAAAAATTCAGACAGCTAGGGTAGACAAGAATGGAGGATTATTGGTTTCAAGGGGGGGAACATGCTCATCGACAGAACAGGGGGAGCTATAGCATGTTTAAAGAAAGACTTTGAGCTACCTGCCCAAAACACTATAGTTGAATACCTTGAAAAATCTACCAGACATGTGTAAATAAATTTAAACAATTATTCTAACCCTTAAGCATGTCAATAG